CTGGTGGCAGCTAGGGAATGCTAACTGTTCAATCTGAAACCCGACATAAAATCGTAAACAAACTTACTTAATACACTAAGTTTTTTTTATTGCCCACCCCCCCACTTTGTAACTCAACTGAATGGCTCTCAAGTGTGAACTCTGGCAAAGAAAACGATGTGCTACAATGCCAAAAGGTTGGACACACCCACAAGTAGAGTAGCATCTCATTCCAAAATTCTCCACTACCTTCGATGAAGACTAGGCTATGGGCTTGTGTGGATGCTAAAAGGGTCTGCAGTCTTTCTTAATTCTAAACGGCTGTCTCCAGTCCTTTACATCCTCTCTAGGCCCAAGTCTCTCTCAGGTAGTTCTTTTTTCTAGAACCCCCATCTACACTTTGCCTTGCTCTCTAACCTCTAAATCTCTAGCCTCCCAGACCTCTGTCTTTTCCATGGCTAATAGTTCATCCTTGTCAAAGCTGGAGGAAATACCTTGTGTCCACTACCTCCCTCGGTCCTCTGAACTAGCATTATCCCACACCACACTCTCGGTTAGGTCATTTAACCCATACATGGGCTCCGAAATTGCGCCCAGGAAATCCTGAGCATTTAACCCCTCAACACCTATTTCTTCTGGGAGCGGTGCTCTGCCCTGGCCCGTTTCCCTGTGGGAATATTTTCTTATCGGTAAGCCTTGGTGAATGAGAGGTGTGTGCTGTGCTGCTCTAAACAAATGTTTTTTGGTTTTTTGTTTGTTTTGTTTGTTTTGGTTTTTCGGAACAGGGTTTCTCTGTGTAGCTTTGGAGCCTATCCTGGCACTCGCTCTGGAGACCAGGCTGGCCTCGAACTCACAGAGATCCGCCTGCCTCTGCCTCCCGAGTGCTGGGATTAAAGGCGTGCACCACCAACGCCCGGCTAAACAAATGTTTTGACTTAAACGTGTTCTGTTTTTGTCACACAAGCTCTTAATGTCGATTTAAGGAAGGGCTACCTTTCCCCTGCTGTCACATGGGAAATGACTTCCACTGTCTGAGATTTGCGAACAAAGGAACAGGCTGAAGCTATAACCATCCCAGAGCAAGTGTTGGCTGATGTCCCCGAGAGCCCGGCTGGTGTTAATTTTGTTACATCTCACAGCCCAGAGACCCAGAAGCTGTGCAACACAGGCTTCGCGCGCTCGCCGCCAGGCGTTGTCGTGCGCCGCGCCACTTCGCACCCGGAACCAGGGACTGGCGTTCGGGGGAGGGACCCCGAATCCTTCCGCCTACGCCCGGTCCCCCGGCCCGCCAGCAGCAGAGGCCCAGGCTAGCCGCGGTCCAACCAAGACCACCAAGGCCCGCACCTCACCTCCTGCAGCGACTCGGGCACCAACGCCGGCACGATAGGTCGCTTCACGCCCCGCTGCTCCTTCTCCTTCTCCCCACCCTTCTCCTTCCCGTTCTCCGCGTCCCCTTTCTCGGCTTGGGTCATCTCTGCCACCGCCGACCACCACCAGCTTCGGGGCTCAGGAACACCGCCCGCACGGAAATCAGAGGAGAACCATCGCGCAGGCGCAGCGTCCCCTGGTTGCCCACAGTCAAGATGGCCGCCGCTAGAGTCGCCCCTAGAGAATTCTGGGAATTAGGGAATGGCAGGGTTGGGGTTTTAGTTTTTCTATTGTTTTTTTTTTTTGGTGATGGTGGGCACAGAACCCAGGGGCTTATGAGTGGTGAGCATAATCCTTTTACCAGTGAGCTACATCTCCAGTGTCATACTTTATTATTTTTGCTTTTTAAATTTTCTTTTAGACAGGGTCTCACTACTTATCCCTGGCTAGCCTGGAACTTGCCATGTAGACCAGGCAGGCTAGCTTCCAACTCACAGAAATTAAGTGTGTGACGTCTCACCTAACCCTAATAAATTTTGATCTCTTGGTGAGTGTCTGAGGTTAATCAGTCCCATTTCAATCCTGAAGGTTTTCACTCACAGGCAATAGTACTTCAAGTTCTCAGTTTGCTGGCCCTGCTCAGTCCGGTTTCTGAGATTGGGTTCTTTGGGACTAGGTCTCTTCTTGACACTGCTTTGAATTTCATGACTTTACCCATGATTCCTGAATATATTATTTCCATTTTGGGTCTGTTCCTCAGATCCAGATTGATAGCCTTATTTGATATGCATACTTAAGGTTTCTGCAAAGTATTGTAAATTTAAATACCAATTTTTTTTTAAAGATTTTTATTTATTTATTATGTATACAACATTCTGCTTCCATGTATATCTGCACACCAGAAGAGGGCACCAGATCTCATTACAGATGGTTGTGAGCCACCATGTGGTTGCTGGGAATTGAACTCAGGACCTCTGGAAGAGCAGTCCAGTGCTCTTAACCTCTGAGCCATCTCGCCAGCCCTAAATACCAAATTTTTAATACTCCCTGCAGGAGGTAGGGCAGGGGATGACCCCAACAATAACCAGATATGTAATTTGGAAGCTCACCCATTGCTTCAACATCCAAACCATCATGAGACTGAAAAATAGCTTGAATTGGTTCACTTCTTTGCATTTGATCGTACTTACATAGCCCACTCCTGCTGTATGACAGCAACCTCTAAACTAGATTCTGTAGTTCAGTTCCTGATCAGCCGTCTATGCACTCGCTCATTGTTTTATCACAAAGTAGTCTGTTGTGGCAGCACATACATGCAATTCCAACACGGTGGAGGATTGCCTCAAGTTTAAGGCCAACTATCTTCTAGACCATACTTGATTTAGTTCTGCTGTCTTTCTCTGTGTGTTCTACACCCATTGAGCCAGGGGGACACCAGGTTCTCTTGCTTTATGAAAGTTTCTTACTAAACCTAGAGCTAAGCTGATAGCCAAGAAGCACAGGGGTCTGTCTCCACGGGACACCAGAGTGACAGCAGAGCACAAGGTCTTAACCCAAGTCTTTTATGTGGGTGCTGAATTCAAGTCCTTAAGAGAGCACAGCTTGTGCTTAACCACTGAGCAGTCCTTCAGGCACACTTCTGTTACCTGTACTATCCCTTCCATGCCTGAGATCTATCCAGATACACTTTTTTTTTTTCATTTGTGTGTGCACTCATGCTAAAGTGCATATGTGGAGGGGCAAGGGATAACTTTAGGGAGTACCTTCTCCCACGTGGGTCCCAGGAATAGAACTCTGGTCAACCAGGCTTGACAGTGAATGTCCTTACCTGCTCAGCCATATCACCAGCCTATACACTTCATTTCTGATGTCACATCCTTCCCATCATCAGGCTGTTGCTGTTCCTTTGCTTTGTTGTAGCTTCTCTTGCCTGGAAGACTCTTCCTTCAGCTGGATGGATCACTTTAGGCCTCCTGTGGATATCATTTCATTCTAGTTCCTTAGACACACCAGCCTTTTGTCTGTAATTATTCTGCCTATATACTTTCTCCCACACTAGAATGTAAACTCCATGAGAAGTGTGCATTGTCAGCCTTGGAATATATGGTGAGAAAACTCAGATAAATTGATCTCAGCTGGGTGTGGGAGCACCCCTGTAATCCTATGTGTCTGAGAAGGGCAAGAGCATCTTGAGCTGAAGGTTAGCTTGGATTGCATGAGACTGTCTCAGTAAACCAGACTTAAAAAAAAAAAAAATTAATTAAAAGATCATTGTCCCTTCTTGATGGTTTCTTCTAAATGATAAATCATGACTGAAAAATCATAAACTACTGAATAAAGACAAGTTTCAAATACAGTGTATTAAAGAGGGGAGATCCATGCCTCAGTAGTCCTCAACAGGTCAGATAAGTACAAGCTGCATGACTCTAGCTAAGTCCTGAGAGAGGAAGCATGTAGCAGCAGCTATCCCGAGTCAGAAGGCTTAGGTCACAGCACAGCTAAACCACCATTTACACTAGTCACCTACTAAGGCCATGTTCTTTGTCTCTGCCAGTCACAGTCACACAATCTAGGGAGCTGCTGAGCTCTAGTGAACCACACAGGTATCTGTGTAACTTAGGAATCATCTACATACCCCACTGTCAGAATTAAAAACATAAAACATAACTGAGTAGTCAAAAACCGTTCTTTAATCACCTTTATTCTCTTTGAACACTGCCGTCTTGTGATACTACACCCCCATTTCTTATTGATAAGTAGTATAAATAGCTTTCACCTAAATATTTTGGGTTTCAACATATGTACACTGGACATGTACTGCTATTCATTTTTATAATATTTCAGTGCCTATTTCATGTGGTTCCTGTTCACAGGACTAGGGTAGGCTAAGCAAATCGTAATCCCAGTACTCCAGAGACAGGAGCTCAAGCTCCAGTTCAAGGCTAGCCTGGGCTATAGATTTATCTTGGTTATTTTTTTTTTTTTTTTGGCAACTTAACAATCTAGAACCACCTGGGAGGAAGAACCTCATTTGAGAAAATGCTTCCATCAGACAGCCTAAGATGAGTCTGTAGGACGTTTTCTTGATTGATATGTGAGACAACTGTGGGTTGTGCCACCCCATGCTGAGCAAACATGGGGAACAAGCCAGTAAGCAGTGCTCCTTATGGTCCATGCCCTAACTTCCCTGATAATGACAGTATTTATCACAGCAATAAAGAAGCCAACTAAGACTCAATCTCAAAAAATGGGGGTAAAGAGTAGGAAAGGGATGAACAGGGCTATTTCAGGAAAAACATGAAAGTGGTATCTGGATAGAACTGAAAGTAGGTAGGTAGGATCTTAAGCAATGGGATCAAATTCTTTTTTGTCAACATAACATTAGAAGTCCATGGTTTTAGTAGGGTGTTGGTGGCGCACGCCTTTAATCCCAGCACTCAGGAGACAGAGGCAGGTGGATCTCTGTGAATTTGAGGCCAGAAAGTTGAGGGGGAAAAAAAAAAAAAAGAAACACAAAATTTGTCCTTGAAAAAAAAAAAAAAAAAAAAAAAAAAAAAAAAAAAAAAAAAAAAGTCCATGGCTTTGAGTATTGGCCAGCATACAGTCAGTCATTTGAAGTTCAATTTCGATGATTATGGCCTTATAAATACCTGATATTAAAGATAAAAATTCAAAAGCAAACATTTATACTACTGAAATAATTATATTGTGGTTTATTTGTAAATGAGAGCAAGATAACATTGAAGTTGAAAAAAGGCAACATTAACAGGAGTAAATACACTGGAGCCAGGTGGTAGTGGTGGTGGTGGTGGTGGTACACACCTTTAATCCTAGCACTTGGTAGGCAGAGGCAAACAGATCTGAGTTCAAGCCAAGCCTGGATGGCCAGTGATACACAAAGAAACCCTGTTTTGAAAAAACAAAAACAAAAACCAACCAAACAAACAAAAAGCCAGAACTAAATACATAGCCTTTATTTCTTCCAGATCAGGATTTTTTTTTGGGTTTAATCATATAAAGATGATGAATCAAGTTTAGCAACCTAAAAATACTTATTAAAACTATATTAATACTTTAGTAAACTATACAAAAAAGGTAAGGAGACAAACATGTACATTTATAGAACTGCATGTCAGTCATGACAGTTTCTGCAGAGGGAATTCCCAACATGACCTCATTCATCTGTGAGGACACAGAACAGTCCTTGTTTAGACATACACCATATCTTGTCCTACGTGAGCTGCTCTTCATCTCTTGATGGCTTCCTTCTACACATGTGTATGTCTAGTTGTCTGCTTCTTAGAGCAGACATTTACCTAAAAGAGGTTCAAACAATTAGCTCATGCTTATTAAATTGGAATGTACACACACACACACACACACACACACACACACACACACACAGAGTCATATCAACATGAAACTCCTGAGGGGTAAGAGAAGTGAAGGGGGCTGGCAGCCAGGAAGTCCAGAGGAAAGGATGGGAGGAAAAGAATACAAATCTTTTCTCAACTGATATTTCTATAATAAAGTCAATGAATTTTCAAAGATTAATATTGTAGAATATTATTGTAAGATGTGTTGCATTTGTTTAACTCTGTGAAGCTGTGTTACTTTGCCTGTCTAAAACATCTGATTGGTTTAATAATAGCAAAGCAAGAGAATGGACAGGTGGGGTTGGCAGGCAGGGAGAATAGGAGAAAAAAGAGATCAGGAGAACTCAAGGGTCCAGCCACCCAGCCACACATCCAGACAGGGAATACGAAGGAAAAAAAAGATATACAGAAATAGAGAAAGATAAAAGCCCAGAGGCAAAAGATGGATGGGATAATTTCAGTTAAGAAAAGCTGGCAAGAAATAAGACAAGCTAAGGCTGGGCATTTATAAGGAAGAATTTGGGAGCTGCTGGCAGGCTCCCAAAAGAGTAAAAAACAACTACAGACTAAGATATATTTTTCTAAATAATATGTATAAATATGTAACTTCTAGAGAGATGGCTTGGCAGTTAAGAGTGCTTGCTGCTCTTGCAAAGGACAAGAGTTGGATGTTCAGCACCCATTTTAGGTGGCTTACCACAGTTGGCAACTAACTCCAGCTCCAGGACTTGAGTCTTTCCTGATCTCTATGGGCACCCATGCACATACACACACACATATAAATAAAAACAAAATCTTAGAACTCCAACTGCAGGGAATCCAGTGCCCTCTTCTGGCCTTCTCTGGTACCATGCACACATGTAGTATACTTACATACATACAAAACACTCAAAAACATAAAATAAACATAAAAAAATCTACAACTTCTGTTTTCCTAAACAAGATATTCCTAAGGAGACATTTTCAAATAAAATCCTGCAAAATAATTTCAGATTTTAAGTTACCTTCCTCATCCACCAGCCATTGGAGGAGGGCTGGGGCCTTGAAGATGACTGATTCGACCCATTCTTCGTGGAGGGTTTCCTGGTGGCCTAATAAAAGAAAAATTATCTGTTTGGTAAACCCAGCTTCAATTGGTTCTCTCATTTTAGAGAGCGTCTTACTATGTAGTCCTGCCTTGCCTGTAATTTGCTATATAGACCAAGCTAGCCTTGAACTCAGATTCTGTTGGCCTTTGGCTCTCAAGAGCTGAGATTAAAGGTGTGGACCACCTTCAATCCAGTTGGTTCCTTTTGTTAAGCACCATACTACACCCTTTTCAATAAACACAAGAAAATGAGCATGATAGCCTCTAACTATCTTCTCAGCACTTGGGAGGCTGAGGCTGGAAGATTAGCAGAGGTTCAAGGCCAGTCTAGAATATGTAACCAGGACAAGGTCAACAGTGCTACAAAGCAAATCCCTCCCTCAAAAACTAAAACCAAACAAGGTACACAATCTTGTTAAAATAGCAACTATTATGTACATTGGTGTGATAGGTAATCTTGGCAGCCAACTTGACACGCCTGGGAAGATGGAACTTCAACTGAGGAATTGCCTCTATCAGACTGGCCCACAGGGCACGTTCGTGGTGCATTTTGATTGCTAATTGCCAATAGGCCACTGCAGATGGTGCCATACCTGAACAGGTGGGCCCAGGCTGTATAAAGATAGCTGAGCAAGCCAGAGGAAGCAAGTAAAAAACCAGCCTTTCTCCATGGTCTCTGCTTCAGTAGCTGCTTTGACTTACTTCTCCACATGATGGACCATAACCTGAAAGCTGAAATAAACTTTCCTTGCCTGCATTACTGTGATCAATACTTTCTTTGTTATAGCTATGGAGAAGTGAACTCTTAAGTCAGGAATCAGAAATCCAAACACTTACCATCAGATACAATGCAAGCAAACTGTAGGTGCTCCTCCGAAGTAAACCCGAGCCGAGCTGAGCCCAGCCCAGTACTGCTTCTCATCTCAACTGTGCACTGGCAGCTACAAATTCAGACTGCACTGTGAAGTCTCTAGATACTAAGGTTGGCCATTAGTTTTCAGCCTCTAATTTTGCTCTCCCACTGTATATTTAAAATATTTTATAGCTCGGCCAGTTTGACTGTTTATCAGAACTTGACTTTTAATTTATAGCAACTTCTTAATTTTGTGAAATGGGGATTAATCTTTTAAGTTCTACAAGTCTAACTCTATCTAAAATAACAAAATGAAGACACAACAAGTAAACACTTATCAGTAGGAAAGGCTGCACATACCCTCTTCCATCATCGTATCTGGAATTAGATGAGCTTCCGTAGCTTCTTCTTTTTTTCACATCTTGCTGAAGCAGAGTTTTGAAACTGAAACAAGGGGCAGAAACAATAGAGGTATCACTTTTGACACAATTAGCAAGTATATTTCCATGCTTTTAATTATCATCTCTGAGAGGTGACTAACCCAATCTATTAGGCTAAAGCCTACACTTCCTGCTGGACAACATCTAGCATGCATCTAAAACAGGATGTGCCATGTTCTATGCCAAAAGCCACCTGTACTTCTCATCTGCTAGTAACTCCCATAGACAACAGGAAACCAGAGTCCTCATCGGTTTCAGTCTTCCGGTTAGGTTTCAACATAATCTATTTTTACAGTATCTTCCAGTTATCACTCCCCACTAACTTATTCTGTTTTTTCAGTATCTTCCAGTCACCATGACTGCAATTCCTCTGCCTATAGTCTACCTGACATCACCCTGGGGAGGGAGGAGATGAGGATGTTATAGTTGGAGGCACAAAGCTTCTCAGAATATATATAAAAAAAGAGAAAAAAAGAAAAAATCAATTTTCTTTCTTTTTCTTTTTCTTCTTTTTCTTCAGACAAGGTCTTACTATGTGTAAAGCCCTGGATGGTCTAGAACTCTCTATGTAGACAAAGTTGGCCTTGAATACTGCCTGTCTCTGCCTTCTGAATGCTGGGATTAAGAGTATGCCTCCAAACCTAGTCCAAGTTTCTAATTTCTTAGAAGGGAGTGTTAACTAAGGCAAAAGAACAAATATAGATTAGGTGTAATTTCTAAAAGCCATTAAGTTTTGCATTGGTAAGTTTAAGTTAGGGCCTTATCCTGTCCCTTCTTGGGTACTTCCTCTGATGTATACCTTCCATGGGACACTCATCTCACGATCCCCTGCAATAGGAAAACATTTACTGATAGTATGCTTGTCTTAGTTAGGATTACTATTGCTGTGATGAAACAGCATTGCCAAAAGCAAATTGGGGAGGAAAGGGTTTATTTGGTTTACACTTCTACACAGTAGTCCATCACCAAAGAAATCAGGGCAGGAACCTAGAGGCAGGAGCCGATGCAGAGGCCATGGAGGGATGCTACTTACTGGCTTGCTCAGCCTGCTTTCTCACAGAACCTGTGGATGCCTCCACCCACAGTGGGCTGGGTCCTCCACATCAACCACTAATTAATAAAACGTCCTACAGGCTTACCTATAGCCTGATCTTATGAAGGCATTTTCTCAATTGATAACTTTCAGGAAACTCTAGCTTGTGTCAAGTTGACATAAAACTAGCCAGCATAGCACTAAATGAAGGGACTATTCTCCCACCCCTATTCATTGCAACTTTCTAATCATGAAACATTCAAACTTAGGATAAATAAGATTTGCTAGTAACTGATTGGTAATTTTGATAAAAACAACCTGTAAAAGGCAAAAAAAAAAAAACATACACAAACAACCCTTGTTTAATAAAGAACTGTTTGGCATAACTGAAAAGTTAAAATTTCTCACTTTTATTATTGACTTTAATAGAAGTAGTTGACTTCTAATCCTTCATTAAGAGTTCAGACCCAGGGAGTAGTGGCACATTTCTATAATTCTCAATATTTAGGAGGCTAAGGCAGGAAGACTACAATGAATTCTAGGTCATCTCAGACCCTATATGTAACACTAAACCAGTTGTATAGGGCTATATAGCAACACTTGATCTCAAAAAACACAAAACAGGCCGGGCACACACCTTTAATCCCAGCACTCAGGAGGCAGAGGCAGGCAGATCTCTGTGAGTTCGAGGCCAGCCTGATCTCCAGAGCGAGTGCCAGGATAGGCTCCAAAGCTACACAGAGAAACCCTGTCTCGAAAGAAAGAAAGAAAGAAAAAAAAAAACCCACAAAACAAAACAACCCCCCCCAAACCAAAAACAACAATAAAAACAAAAAGTAATCTGCTGGTAGACTGGATAGGTCTGGCTATAAGCTGACATGGTTACCATAAATGTTCAGGCATAGTCAAGCTCACTAATTCAACATTATATTTATAATCACAAGAAGCCTTAATTTTACTTTGTAAAGCTATTTAAATAACTGTGGAAGTTAGGTACTTCCACTTTTTTGTGCAGTGGGCTGTGACTAATATGGAGACTCACAGCTGGTCAAAGTGTAGAGAATAAGGGTCTATGGGATGTTCAGCCACGAGTGGGCATCTAAGTCACACAATCTCCCCCAAAGCTCAAGGAACAACATGTAAAAGGGGGAGAAAAGATTCTAAGATCCAGAAGTTGGAAGAACTGGGACAAAAATAGCATTTCCTAAACATGTTGCATTCACAAATTCTTTGAGGCTGTGGGTGCTTACATTGGATAAAGTCAGTCAACAGTGGAGGGGGGTTACACAAGCCCCTACTCCTAACTGAGGAGCTACTGACAGCTGACGATTGCTAGAGAGAGGGAGAGTCATTTTTTTTAGGGGTGTGTCCCACACAATGCTCCAAGGGATGGGCCCACACCCATTTGGCCAGTAGTAAATATACTTAGTGGGCCATAAAAATAAGAGACACGGGCTGGAGAGATGGCTCGGAGGTTAAGAGCACCGACTGCTCTTCCAAAGGTCCTGAATTCAATTCCCAGCAACCACATGGTGGGTCACAACCGTCTGTTATGAGATCTGGTGCCTGTCTTCTGGTGTGCAGATATACATGGAAGCAGAATGTTGTATACATAATAAATAAATAAAAAATCTTAAAAAAAAAAAAAGAGACACAAGAGAATGAAGGTACCAGGGGGGCATGTGGATGGCATGGGATGGCACTGGTTGGGGGAGTGGAGAAGAAAAGAAAAGAGGGGATGAATATGACCAAAATACATTGGATACATGTATGAGATTCTCAAAGATAACCAATCATCATAATATAATGTAATTTGCAACTAACTAAATGCTTTTATACTTACAAAAAAACCACAAATTCTGCTATTCCCCAGAAGAAATCTGTTATAAAAGACAATCTCCATGGGGACTGATTTCGGCTGTCCAACACTTGTCCTATAGGGAGAATAAAATAAATAGAGTGTCACAAATCTAAAACTTGGCGTTGCATTTAATCAGTAAGCTCAGGTTTTCACTTGATCACTATTTCAAAATAGTCAACATGAAAAGTGCATTATGAATGAAGTAAAATTCTGAGATCTAGAGCTCATTCCTTTGGCAATGTAGCATAGCATAGTTGTATAAGCACATCCATAAACTCCACCACTGCCTTCCTCCAAAACTACTGTCTTCCCCAGCTCAAATTCTACCTAGTAACTATGACTTCCCATTACTTCTTCCCTGTAACCCTGGAAACCACCAATCTACTTTTTGCCTCCGTAAATTACTGTAGAATCTCATAAAAGGAATTAAATCATTTCCATTTTTGTGATCAGCTGGCTTCACTTAGCATAATTTAGGGTTTAACCACATGACAGCTGATCAAATTTCTTTCCTTTGAAAAGATTGGCCAATATGGATATATATATCCATATCCCATTCAGCTGTCAAAGGACATTACAGTTTTCTATTACGAATAATGCTAATATGGACACAAACATACAAACATATTTATTCAAGCATTTTGAAGAAAAATCAATGAGTTGGATGAAATGCTTATGATGCCTCTATTTCTTTTCTTTTGAGATAAGAGTCTCACTATCCAGCCCTGGCTGGCCTTGAACTCAAGAGATCTGCCTGCCTCTGCCTCCCAAATGTTGGGATTAAAGGCATGCACCGACACAAGTGGTTACATCTATTGTCTTAAAGGTGTTCAGAGAATTTTTTCCCCCACTTACAAAGTCTCTCACCTGTACAAAAGGTTATTTAGATATACAGATCTTTAGAATGAGCTATTTTGATAAAATTCTTATACAAAGAGTCTATGGTCCAAGTACTGAGAAGTTAACTTGTTCTTTATTAAAATACCCAGAATTTTCAGTAATATTGTGCTCTCAAGTCAAATAATAGACTCTCCTTTATCTCAAACAAAACTGAATCTGTTGGTATAATAGTTTCAGGCTTGCACATCATTAAGTTAAGAGTATTGTGGTGGGGGAAGAGCTTCGCTTTAACCACCTGTCCTGTCCATTAATCTGAAGGGCTTTGGCGGTTTAACTCCATCCATCTTTCAGGGTTTTTCTCTTTCCTTTACCAGCTTACTTTCACTTATTCACTTGGATTTACTCTGTCACAGAGGCAGAGAAGAAAAAAGGCTAGACAGTCAAAGGGTGAGTGGTGTACTCTTTTGTTGGCTTCTGGGGAAAAACGATTCCTGAGCTAACCAGCACATTGGATTGGGATAAGAGGCGTCATCTGGTAATAAGAATCATCTATGAAGTACTGACAAATTACAGTCCTAAGAAGATGGATCCAGTTGGAGCCTACCAGTTAACCCTTTGTGATTCTAAAGAACTAGATGCATATCCATCATTCTACATGGCTCTTTGCACTCTCTCCTAAATTCTAAAGGCAGAATCGGATACAACTCCATGTCTCCAGAGGGTAATAATATTCTTGAATAAAGTTGCATCTGTCAAACTATAAAACTTTGTTAAATAAAAGGTCATAACATGACACACATTACAACACTCTACATACTCTACAATAATTACACTTACATACTTATTTAATAATGCATGAAACTCTTAGCCTCACAAATAATAAAATCTGCAAGTACCCAAAACTAAGCTGAAAAGCTGACGCTTCCTTTAATGCCCATCACACCACCTACCCCAACGCTTTGTAATCCTCAGGTGGAATTCTGAAAACCCAAAAAATTCAAAGCTCGCCCAGCCAAAATTGTTCTCCTGGATACCTTAGTCTCTGGAGATACACAGATGAATCAAATAAACCACACCTACTTCCAGAGACCCAGGCTTCTAGGATTGCACCAGGATTTCCACCTGCGTCACACAGGTTCTGGCACTGATGTGGCCTGGTCATGCTGAATTTCTAAGTTTCCTTGTGGACTGTCTTTCTCAGATTTTCTATTTAATTATAGACTTGTTCCCCAAGTTCTTTCAAATTGGGGCAAAACCTTGGGCTTGGAATTAGCTACACTCTTAGGGGAGGAAACCTATCAAAACTTTTGTATTGCCTGGCGTGGTGGTGCGATCCTTTAATCCCAGCAATCAGAAGACAGAGGCAGGAGGATTTCTACGAATTAGAGGCCAGTCTGATTTACACAGTGAGTCCCAGGGTAGACAAAACTACAAAATGAGACCCTGTCTCGAAAATTTTTTCATGTTCGTGCTAGTTCTGTCTTGTTGTTGTTTTATTAATATTTTACACATTACAGAGGCAGAACGGTAGGTAATACTGGAGCCAGCCTGAGTTCGAATTCGACCGAAGTCATATTACTGCTTTTGTGGTCGTGAGTGAGCTATTCACTCTGAGTCTCAAAGTCTGCATCCGAAAAACTGGGATAGTAAAATACCATCCGAACAGGACAGCTACAAAGATGAATACGATGGTAAGCAGAGAATGCTGTTACAGTGGCCCAAAACAAAAGCTCCGTATACTGGGTTAGCATCACTGTCATTTGGCGAAGGATGCCCAAGCCCGAGAACACAATCGCAAATCCAAAGCCGGCTACTGGCTTTATGAGGAAGCCTCAGTTGAGGCCAGCGGGGCTCTGGGGTCGGTTACCACCGGGGCCACCCGGCGGCAGCCAGGGACTTCTTGGGATACACCTAGGGTCTCGCGGCCTTCGTTTCCGACTCCTCCCAACCACCGGGCACTGATTTGGGGGAGGCCGCCCTAAGTTCTGGACCCGGCGAGCGAGGACAGAAGAACCCCGGGGCAAGGCCTTCACTCACCATTCGAGATGTAAACCATCTTTCCTCCGGTTGCCCGCTTCCAAATGACTGGGAAGATAAGCTCCGTGAAGCTGGCGGAAATTGCCTCCCGCCCAGCTCTTTACGTCACAGGCCTCTGCGAGAAGACACGCTAGAGGTGGGTAGAGCCCATTGGCTGCTGGGAAACAAGTCCCGACTAGAATTTCCGCCCAATCACAGAAGTAACTTCCGCTGTCGTGGAAGCTGTGCCTGTCGGTAGGCAAGATGTGACGTTTCGGAGCCTCTTTGAGGAACATTTTCCCCTCCTCCTCGCCCCCCCCCCCCCCCACACTTGGGTTTGGTCGTGGAGTCTTTGATGCCACTGCCCCATCGACCGGAAGTCGCTTTCTAGTTGGTACATAAGCACAGAGTTAGAGTAAGCAAGGCTTGTCGGGTGGCAAGTGGTTTGAAGCACCTTGGTGGCAGTAAATTCCTCAACCTTCCAGATGTGTTGCTGTTTTATGGTGTGGAAGGGACAGGCCCTGAAGAGATGGCTCAAATACGAAGAACCTCATCATCAGGTTTTGGGGAACCCCCTTTGGGATGTATTTATTCCCCTTAAATCAGTAATTCTGCTCTTGAGTTCACAAGATGTGGCTTTTGTTTCGCTGTTTTGAAACAAGGAAGGTCTCACTCTGTATTCCTGGAACTCACATTGCAGACCTGAACTCAAAGGTCAGCCTGCCTCTGTGTCCCCAGTGCAGGAAGTATGCCCCACCACACCTGGCATTTTTATTTATTTACTTACTTGTTTGTTTGTTTATTGAGATGGAATTATGTATCCCAGGCTGGACTGCAACTCACTTTGTAGACCAGACCCTTAATCCCAATACTAGTGAGACAGAGGTGGGTGGATCTATGTGAGTTCAAGAAGAGGCATTGAGCTGAGCAGTGAGTGGTGGCACACACCTTTTATCCCAGCACTCAGGAGGCAGAGGCAGGCGGATCTCTGAGTTCGAAGTTACCATGTACAGAGTAAGTTCCAGGACAGCCAGGGCTGTTACACATAGAAACACTTCTTTAAAAACCAAAAAAGTGGCATTGCTTTTTTTTTCTTTTGTCTTTTGTTTGTTTTGTTTTTCTGAGACAAGATTTCTCTGTGTAGTCCTGGCTGTCCTAGAACTTCCTCTGTAGACCAGGGTGGGCCTTGAGCTCACAGAGATTCTGCCCCTGCCTCTGCAGTGCTGGAATTCAAGGCATCATCACCACCCAGCTAAGAAGTGGCATTTTAAAAATAGCTTTAGTGATGAAACTAGGAAAAATAAAATCAACTGCTTGCCAGCATTGCAGAAGTGGCATAAGCATTAGAAGGTAGGTCTTGGGCATTGAGTAAATTTGAACGATATTCCTTGCAGAGTTAGGTATGCATCCTAAGAGAATGGGCTCCAAAAAGCCAGTTCAAGCACTAGTGATAAATCCTGGTCCCACTGCCAGTGGTCTCACAGATTGCCCAAGCCACACAACTGTCACCCACATTCAGTCCGGTCCTCGTCCCTGTCCCCCTGCTGTCAGTCCAGAGTCAGTGAGCTTCCACTAGCTCAGGTCAGCTGTCTCTGTGGGTATCCCAAAAATGTTCTTGACCCCTTTGCTCATATTATCACTCTTCCTGCTCTTTGACTAGACTCGGAGAGCTCGGTCCAGTGCTTAACTGTGGATCTCCTCATCTGCCTCAATCAGTTGCTGGATGAAGATTCTATGATAATTCAGGTAGTCATCAATCTGATTACAGTGGAAGGCCAGTTCAGGCATCTTCTTTACTAATGCTTAAGGTCTTAATTGGGATCATCTTTGTGGCTCCCCAGGAATTTCCTTAGTGCCAGGTTTCTCACTAGCCCCATAATGACTCAAGATATCTCTTTCCTTGCTCTCCCTCTCTGTCCTTCCTGCATCTAGTTCCCTCATGTTCTCCTCCTGCTTCCCCTTCTCTCCCCCCCCCCCCCCCCCGAAATACTTCCAATTTTTCTCAGGAGATCTTGTCTATTTCCCTTTCCCAGGAGGACCCATGTAGGGTTTGCCTTGTTACCTAGCTTCTCAAGGGTCATGGACTACAGGCTTGTTATCTTTGTTTTACATCTCATATCCACTTATGAGTGAGTATATACCGTGTTTGTCTTTCTGGGTCTGGGTTACCTCACTCAGGAATTTTTTTTTCTCTCTTCTAGTTCCATCCATTTGCCTGCAAATTTCATAATAATCATTTTTTTTTTTTACCACTTAGTAGTACTACATTGTGTAAATGTACCACAGTTTCTTTATCCATTTTTCAGTTGAGGGGCATCTAGGTTGTTTCCAGGTTCTAGCTATTACGAATATAAGAAAGCATTTTAAGGGGCTGGTGAGATGGCACAGCAGATAAGAACGCTGGCTGCTCTTCCAGAGGTCCTGAGTTCAATTCTGAGCAACCACATGATGGCTCACAACCATCTGTAATGAGATCTGGTGCTCTCTTTTGATCTGCAGGGATGCATGCAGGCAGAACACTGTATACATAATAAATAAATCAAAAAAAAAGAAAGAAAAAGAAAAAAGAAAAAAATTCTAATCACAGTTCAGCATCCCTGGTGGATTCAGGGACTCCAACTCAAGAAAAGGACTTGGTGTCAAAAACCCTTATCCTTGGAGCCATCTTGCTCCCTCATACTTTTTTGAGATAGGGTCCTCCTATGTAACTTCAGGCTAGCCTCAGACTCAGTCTTCCCACCTCTGCCTCTCAGTGATGGCAACACAGATAAGCTGATTCTTTTGTTTGTTTTGAGGCAGGTTCATATTTAGCCCAGGCTGGCTCTCCTTCTTCACCCTCCTCAGTGCTACAGTTGCTATTGTATACCACCAAGTCTGGATTCTCTTGAACATTGGTCAAGGAATTCCTTAGTCAACCATTAAGTCTTTAATTTTTAGAAATCATCTTTCTCATGTTGTTCATATCCTTTTAGTTGTCCTCTGAAGAAGAGTTAGTACATATTACTTAATCCTCTGACAAAAGTGGAAGGTGCTACATGTGTTTTCCAAATGTTGTTTATGTGTAAACTTCCCAGAAGTTTACACTTCCTTGTGTAGTCAAAACACATTATTACTTATAAGCAGAAAAGATAGTTATGAATATTAAGCCAAAGTGTGGGTGATTTAAAAGCACATTTATCTTGCAGCAAAGGTTCTCCTTTTTAATCTGTTCATGATTAAATAGATGAATAGGACCTTATTTTCATTGACACTCTGTGCTTTTAATAATAGGGTCAGTGAAAATGAGTTACGCTGTAGTCTCTTAGGGAAAACTCTGTTTTTATGGCCCATGGATTTGTGCTCATGAAAGAGATGATTATCTGGGCTTAAAAGGACATGCTCACTGCATTTCTGTGACTTGAATGGGTAGCTAGAAAGATTGTTGCTAAAACCTTATTTTTTCTAAGAGTATAACTCAGTTTTGTTGTTATTGCCTACTATGGTTTTGGTGTGGACTGTCTTCACAGGATCCTGTGTTTGAATATTTGTTCTCGGGCTAGTAGTGTTGTTTTGGGAAGTTGTGGAACCTTTGGGACGTGATACAGAACTAGCAGATGGAGGCCATTAGCAGGAGGGCCTTTGAGGGTTACAGCACAGTCTATTTCTGGTTTGTTCTCACTTTCTTGATTGGCTAAGATGTGAAGAAGTCAGGCTCACATTTCCATCACCATGGTTAGAGCTGCTCTAGCAGCCATGCCTTCCCCTCAGGCTATTCTAAACCCTCAAAACTGCCAGTCCAAACTAACCTCTCACCCCCAAAGCTGCCTCTGTCACAGCATAAAAAATTGTAACCATTACCCAAGGTCAGAGATGGGTCTTAACTTCAGAAGATCATCCTTCACGATTGTGAGTGACTCATTTCTTTTGCTGCAGAATCCTCTCTTGGTTTCAATGGGAACTCCAAAACCAAAATTGAAACTGGAACCTGGCAACCGAAGAAGTGTTGCTTGGATAGTCTTTCATTTTTCTTGAATGTATTTAGGTATTCCTTAGTGACACCCCATCTTTCATGTTTAGACTGAGGTATTTCACAAGTATGTTGGGGACCATATGTGCTGAACAGTAGAGAAGCAAGTGGAAATGCCGGTAGCCTCCTTGGGTCCTGATGTGTCTGGTCTCTTTTAGTCCCGTGTCATACAGCCCTGACTGCAGGGAAGGGAGCAGGTGGAGGCTGGCATGCAAGACAGAGCTGTGCTCAAACTCCTGTCTTAGGAAAGTGACAGCATAAACAGTTCACGCTGGAATATGGTAAGCTTAGTAGGAACTTAGGAATGGATCTCTGGGGCTGTTCTATACATGGGGAAGCCATGTTGTTCTAATCAGGTCACTGATTTTAGAAATAGGAAATTCCAAAGAAACCATGCTGCATTACATGTTTTACCATAACCTTTGGAAATGTTCATCTCTTTATTTAACCCAGTATTTTTTTAAACATTGTAATTCATATTTGTCCACATATTTTGATTTTTTTCCCAGACAGGGTTTATTTGTGTAGCCCTTAGCTGTCCTGGAACTTGATATGTAGATCAGGTTGGTCTCAAACCCAAAGATATGCCTGCCTTTGCCTCCTGAGTGCTGGGAGTAAAGATGTGCGCCACTATTATGCCCTCCTCCTCCTCCTCCTCCTCCTCCTCCTCCTCCTCCTCCTCTTCTTCTTCTTCATTTTTGGAAACAGGATTTCTCTGTGTAGCTTTGGAGCCTGTTCTAGAACTCGGTCTGTAGACTAGGCTGGTTTCACTTTGTTTTTTTTTTAAAGATTTTATTTATTTATTTATTTATTATGTATACAACATTACACTTCCATGTATATCTGCACACCAGAAGAGGGCACCAGATCTCATAATGGATGGCTGTGAGCCACCATGTGGTTGCTGGGAATTGAACTCAGGACCTCTGGAAGAGCAGTCAGTGCTCTTAACCTCTGAGCCATCTCTCCAGTCCCCTTAACCTAGTAATTTCAATTTTGGAATTTAGTTTAAAGAAACAATGAGGAATGTTCAGTGATATGTGTGTGCAAGGATATTTATCCTGGTTCTCTTTGAAACAATAAAAAAGGAAGTTGTAGTTCATTACATAATAGAGGATTAAATTTTGGAATACATAACATAGTATATATTAAAATAATGGAAAATCATTCACATTAAGTTAAAGAAAATGAGTACACAGCAACATATGCACTATATCAATGAAAAAACATAAATATACTTTGTACAGAAATATATTAATAGGATGGCATAGAAGCTGCAAGTTTTCCTGTTTTTTTTTTTTTTTTTTTTTTTTTTTTTTTTTTTTTTTTTAGTTTGCAATCAGTTTTCCTGTGGGTTTTTTGTTTGTTTGTTTACAATCTTCTCAAAACAAACATGCTTTCCTCTTAGTTAGAAATAAATAATAGCACTTTTTGTTGAAAATTATACTTATTAGAAACTGAGAGTTCATCTTAATGGTGTGAATAATTCTTTAAGTTATTTCTGTCTGGAACAGTGAGATGGTTCAGTAAGTATTCACTTACTGCTAAGCCTGAAACCCAAGTTCCATTAGTGGAACCCACAGATAGAACCCACTGATACATGTTATCTGTGGACACCCCAACATATAATGGGGGGGGCGTATGCAATGATGCACATCTGTCAGAGAAAACTCTGTGAATTTGGTTCTTTTCTTCCACCTTTATGTGGGTTGCAGGGTTGAACTCAGGTTACTGCTTGCTTAGTCAGCACCTGTCCCCATTGAGCTAACTTAGCAGCCCCATAACTAAGGAAATTTTTTTGTGAATCTTTTATTATTTGATCAAGAAAAAAGAAATATTTAAATCTTTTACAGTTATTTTGTATGTGTGTGTACTCACACACTATTTTTTAGAATCAGGAGATTTATTGAGTTGTCAACTTTTTGAGTATATTCAAGCAGCAGTTTTAATCTGTAAGCTAATCTTTAGCTGTGTCTTGTGTTAGCTCACCACTTGAGTTCATTACATCAATGTTTTCTGGTTTTCCCTAACTAAAATTGTGTTTAGTAAGAATCAGGAATCAGCTTTAAATTCGTCGCTGATAAGCTAACAAGTCTAAAACTTGTTAAACTGATAGAGTGATAAAGTGATCCATTCACATTTTGTGAGTGACCTTTTGGCAATGTTGCAGACCGTCATTTTCAGTGTATTCCCCTATTCTAGATTCTATAATACTGCTGAAGTTTAAAAAAGAGCTAACATAGGTTTGAATAACCTTTTTTTTGGTATCAGACTGTTGAACAGTAGAATCACCTCATAAGAGTTTTGAAAAACCTTGAAAAATGACCTATAAATCAAGAAAATTTATGAATATGGATGATAAAAAGCCAAAACAAATACATACTCAAACAAAACAAAACTTCATGGTTGATCTAACCTGCTGCCTTTGAAAGAATTTAGAAGGTATGAGAGGTTGTATCTTCTTGACAGGGAAACATATTGGAACACAAATCAGTGATTGTTTCCTTCTCTGGAAGGCACTCTAGAGTAGAATGAATGAAGAGATCTTGAAAATAAGAAATTTCTTTAAGTTTAAATACAACAAAATACAAGAAGAGCTGCTTTCTAAAAGATAATGGATATGGGTGCAGAGAATTTCCAAACACACACACACACACACACACACACACACACACACACACAGCCTGGATTCCAAGAGCATCAACTTAGTGATGATGCATTGTGGGTAAGGATTTCTGTG